AAAAATGAGCGGGAAGCTCACCAGCTGGTCGATATCTAGAGACGAACCACCCAGAATGACGATAAATGCTAATCTACTCTTAGATCGAATCATTCAGATTCGACCAGAGTGGGAGGGACTAGATGATATGGGATATTATACCCACAAGGCGGAACCGGTCTGTTGACCGGTCGAGGAGGTCATATTATGAGGAAGCCAAGGAAATCGAGCAGTTAACTAGTCGACCAAGCAGGGCTGTCGACCACACTATCCTTCGACCAGATACGCGATCGAGCAATCTATTCGACCTAAGCAGGTCGATTACTTCGGGGATTTAACATCACGCTGTTCGGCCTAGTCATAGGCGCGTGAAGGAAGCCTCTGACGGAATCCCAGGAGAATATTTACCCCATGTGCCGGAGGACACGTGTCGAGAAGGCAGTGGTGGACAGCGATAACCACCTCTGACAGCCTACCCCATGTGCAGGTGGACACGCGGCCAAAGAGGATTGGTGCAGGCGATAGTGGCGACGGCCGCCTCTGACACACGCGTTTGGTGTGTACGGACGGGCAGCTAGGGCAGACAGCTCACCAAATCCGGGCAGCCCTAGGTCAGGTATCTCACCCCTATATAAAGGGGGTGAGCCTTTTTTCTTCAACACGATCATTCCATTACTCTTGAGAATTGATTGAATATACACTGACTTAAGCATCGGAGGCTCTTCACCGGAAAACCCCTCCGGTGTGAGAGTTCTTTGTAGGTACACGACGTTCAACCGGCGAGAAGGAAGACGATTACTCAAGTTCCAGCCGGTCGAGGAGTTTTGTGTTACCAGTAGAGAATATAGATAATGTAATATAATGTACATACCTCTCTCCCTTGTATAATGAGATTATACTTTGTTGCACAAGATTGCCCAAATGGGCTGCCCGGACTACTAGTTCATACTGTCCGAACTGGTCGATGTGCCCAATTCTGTTAGGCCACGTGGCCCTATCTACGTGTCACTCTTATCATAATAATAATACTTATTATCTATTAGTCTTTCTCATTAGACCGCCTAATGGTGTGACTTACTCGAATCCTGTATGAGGTAGAATGTTGCATGCACCGAGCCTAAGCGTTGTCTTTTTGTTCGATCGCACGACAAACCACGCCTTCAGCTCGAGTTTCCAACAGGCCATCTGAGGGCCCTAGCTCGACCTGTCGCTGCTCCCCTGAACAATCATTCTTCTTCGACTCGAAGACTTCATGCTTCGCACTGGCGTTCGATCTTTGTTCAACCTGCGTGTGACTCTGATTGACTAATTGGATTGCTCGGTCTAGTCAGCCAGTTTATTATGTTTGTTCTACCTGGTGTGGTGTCCCATATCAAATATATTTTAAGAATTTTTTAGATTTGAGACTTTTTAAGATTTTGATATGTAAGATGAATTGTTTGAAATAAAGTTTGGAGGTTTTGATTTGAGGTGAGATTTCGTACAAGGTTTATGAAATCTCAACAAATCTTAATAAAATTTTAGTGTCTTATATGTTAAATACTTCGTAATTTGTTAAGACTTTTTGAAATCCTCTCTATATTTTATTTTCGAATGCGCTGAGCCTACGTGGCTGCTTCTGGTGCTTCGGAATCCTACTTGACAAAGAATTATGCTTCGTAATTAGGTTTGGACAAATAATATTGATATATTAATAATTAATAATTTAGGTTTGAACATTCCATAAATATCATTTAGCTACCTTAGGTATTTTATTATCACTTGTACTAATATAACCTTTTATTTCTTTGTAATTTTACATACTGAGGCACTAAGTGACTAATATATCCCTGACTTTTGATTTGTTTCCTTCAATTAGCTATTGAATTATAAATGTATTTTAAAAGTTGATAACTTTTGTATTTCTTATCGGTTTTACATATATAATATATGAAATAAATCATCTTTTGATGATCTTCGATTTGACATCCATATTGTATATATGAAATAAATAAATTATATTTATCTTTATAATAAAAAATAATAATATTTATTAAAATTAATTAGAAAAATAAAATTATTTCTCAATTGATATATTTATGGTTAATGTAGTTATATGTTGTAAGTTTAAAAAATTATTATAATATAACACATGTAAGTTGCACAAACAAAAAGTATCATACTAAATATATAATAATATATATATTTTTATAAAAGATATTTAAATTTTCAACTAGTTTTTCTCATTAATTTTAAATTTTAAGAAAAAATTAGCAAGCACCCGTATAATACACGGGCGTTGTACTAGTCTCAAATGAATACCTAATAACTTTTAAAAGTCTTAAAAACACCAAAGTAAAATACACGAAGTTCTTAAACTCCCAACACATCTTTAAGAATATCAAATGAATACCATTAATATTGGGTAGACTTTACCACATATGAATGAAATTTCCTTAATTAGTCTCCTAAAAGTCTAAAATTAAACAAACTTACTGTTTTATCCAAATCTCTTGTGACAAAAGTTATAACGAGTTAAATGTTAGTTCATTGTTATAAAATTAGCGAATTAAATCATGACGGTCAACTTGTTAACTAGCTTGTTTTGTGAAAATATTATTTTATTTTATTTTTAAACCCAAAACGCTACTTTGAAAAAGTTCAATATAAGCATTTTTGTTAAATGATTTATAAAATAACAAATCAATATACGATTTCTAAAATATTTATACAAACTGCTATTTGCAAATAAAAACTCAAGGGGTATATAGAGAATCCGCAAAATATCACATCAATGTAAGATTTGTAGATAGTTGGAGATGTTACGGTCCCGTTACGGAACCATTCTGTCGGGGTTTGTAACCGTTAGATCGTAATGTAACTGTTGGGGATAGTTGATCTAACGGTTACAAACTCCGACATAATGATTCCGTAGCGGGACCGTAATATCTCCCAGAATAGTTATACAAATCGTTATTTACGAAATAATCATCTAACAATACTAATACAATTTATTAGTGAAAAATACAATTTATTAGTCAAATTTATTATTACAAATACAATTCGATATCAATTTATTACCAAACACGACCATAAAAAAGGCTACTTGATTAATTACCAATTATGATTATCCGCTCGTGTAATGTAAATAAAAAATATAGATGTATATATAATTCTAGGGAAATATCACGGTCTCGTTACGTAACCATTCCGTCGGAATTTGTAACCGTTGGATCATCATGTAACTATCGGAAATAGTTGATCTAACGGTTATAAATCTCGACGAAATGATTCCATAACGGGACATCTCCAATAATTCTATTTAGATAGTATCCTCCCTATATATAATTTCAGAATGCGTTGAGCCTACGTGGTTGCTTCTGGTGGTTCAGAATCCTATTTGGCGAAGAATCATGCTTCGTAATTAGGTTTGGACAAATAATATTAATATGTTAATAATTAATAATCTAGGTTCGAGTATTCCATAAATATTATTTAACTAACTTAGGTATTTTAATATCACTTTTACTAATATAATCCTTTAATTATTTGTAATTTTACATAGTGAGACACTAAGTGACTAATATATCCCTAAATTTTGATTTGCTTCCTTCAATAAGCTATTTAATTATAAATGTATTTTAAAAGTAGATAGCTTTTGTATTTCTTATCGGTTTTACATATATAATATATCATATTAATCATCTTTTGATGATCTTCGATTTGACATCCATATTGTATATATAAAATAA